TTTTTTTTGGTCAAAATGGTCAATGAAAACACAGATGCATGTTAGAGAACTGTGACTCGAGAACGCTACAGTACCAAAATCCATAGAGGCCAAGTGGGTCTAGATTTTTTTGTTTATACTATCAAGTGACGGGACGAACAAGTTCTGCACCTGATGGTAAAAGCTACATGCCTGTCCATAACAGTTCAGAGCTTTAAATCGTATAGATTTTAGAGGCACTGCCACTACACTCGTCATCCTGAGACATAAGTTGATAAGTCCCATGTGCCTGTAATTTTACCAATTAGTAATGGCGACATTACTGCTTGGCAGCAGAAATAGGTAAGGTGGCAGTACTTCTCTGGATGAACTCTTTCACATGGAGCTCTACTGCTACTAAAACTTAACTTACTTAAGAAGATTTATTACCTATAACCATTGACTTACAATTATATGGACGTCGGGTCCGCGCTAAAAAGTGTCCGCACTTGTAAGGCGCTAAAATCGTATACAGAGCGCCAAACTCCGCTTTAGTCTTCATTTGTTCTACTGACAGCGCGATACTGCGATGACATTACAATTTAAATTTTGAATAGGTTGACTTGGGACATTTTTTTCGTGGTTTTTGTATTAGACCCGTCATCCATTTATTTGTAAGTCAATGCCTATAACCAAACATATTACTCACTCCAAGCAATCCAGACATTCCTCACAATCTGATAACTGCTCATGATATTGTTAATCCTCTTTGTCTGAACCAGATACGCCACAAACATGCTGACTACATGTCCAGACACCTGCAACCCTCTCTGTCTTAACCAAATTTTGAGAAGCACTATAGCTTGCTTTAAATTATCACTTTTTAACAGTATATCTGTTAAAAATTTGTCATTTGCAGACGCCGTTAAGTCTGATAAAACACTGCTATTATAAATTGGGGTTGGAGGGCCGACTTCAGAGCTGTTTTCCTGTGTCTCTTTGTTAAATAACCAAGCCTCTCTCAAGTTGTTACGTTGTGGACTAAATCTATGTAGTTTATAGGCTTCTGCTTCACAAACTAAATTAATACGAACTGTGAAATGATTTGCAAGCTTTTCTATAGGTATGATATCAATAACTGGTTTTGTATCGCTACCATGTACCCAAGTGTAGTTAACTTCTTGAATTGTTTCCAGCTTTGTTAAATGAGAAGCAATGTATGCCAAGTATGCTGCACGTTTTCTATGATAACGATAGTTTGTAGAATCATTTTTTGTGTATGTTTCCGCTGGAACAGTAATTTGTACATCTACTTTGAGTTTAGAGTTTATACTGCAGCCTAATGCATAAGAGCCACTAACTTCTACATCTTTGAACTTATGAAACTTGAATACACATTTTGTTTTGTTTGTTTCACAGTTAATAGGTATTTTAACTTTTAATTTCTTTGCTAGTGTCTGTTCTATTAAATCGTACTCTGTATCATCATCACAAATGGAGGTTAAGTGGTCTTTGAAAGTTGTAAACCACTGTTGAAACTTTTTTTCAGTCTTTTCCTTTACTCTTACTTCTTGGAGAACTTCTTCGACTTGCAACCTGAATAAGTTGGAGTTGAATAAATTCTCCGTCTCCTGTAGCCTGTTGAGTTCATTTACAGTCGGCTGTCTGAACCAGCTCTTGGTTTTAAGTCGTTTGGTATCTGCTTTATTTTCATCATCATTGGGTCGTTTTCCATTCTCATTAACGACTTCTACTTCTTCCTTATCCACAGGAACGGAAATTTTTACCCTCTACAATTATATTAAAGATCATTTATTAGATACATTACGAAAAACATCATTTAAATAGAGTGTTTTTAAGCAAACGTGTAAAATTGCAAAGAACTACCATGTCACAAAGAAAAAACTAGGAAATTCGTGGTTAAATTTCAGAAAACTGATTACCTTTTTCACCATTGTTACTATATCGCAGCAGAAAACATTAAAAACAACCAGTTTATAAGAAAGAAAGGTTAGAAAATTGTAAACAACGTGCACCATGCGCCGAGCGATGGGCGGGGCGACACTTTTGACAGTGACATTGACAATTACGTTCCGTTCGCTCTAGTTAGCATTCGTCATTTTACTTCTGCTTGAAAATAGCGTTTAAAGAAACGTAGAGCGCAATATCAAACGTGATATCAGTGCTTTCCTTTATTTTTTTCCATCCTCTAAGCATCAGTGCCATACTCGTCGGAAATAATCGAAGAAGTCCTCGTAATCTTTAATAGAAAGGCTTCAACTTGTGGCTTTTTCGTCGGAGAACGTTAAAAAATAGAAAGTAGGTACATAGGTACATTATCAGCATATCGGCTCAGCCTTTCTCAATGGCGCCATTTCCATAGATCCTCAGTTTGACGCATCCATCTGCTTCCAGCAGCCTTTCGCAACACGTGAAGCCACGCCATCCGGCTGAGGGCGTCTTTTAGCTACGCTTCCCGAACTGTGATCTCCACTCAAGAACTCGTTTTCCCCAAGTATACATTCATACAAGCGGGTGCATTATTTTTTCTTAGTAAATAGTGATTGGAACTATATTTTTAGATTAAAATAATATATGGATGTATGTACATACGTACCTTAGAGGATTGAAAAAATTAGTTTCCATAATCTAAGGTACGTACATTCTCCATAAAAAAACTTAACTATTTTTTTATTTCAGAAACTATCAACTTTTCAACAAATCACACAAAAATAAAACTTGTTGGATGATTCGACCTACTGCAGCACAGCAGAGCGGTAACTGATAAAAGAGCTTAAAATTGTAGTATATCGCATAAAGAATAGAAAAAAATAAAGGTATATCAAGCCGGTTTCTTTAATGATAAATATTGACATTCCTGACAGCTTTTATTCTTGTATAATTTTTTGACAAATTGATAGTTTCAAAGAAATCCTATGTATTGCTTTTCCCGTAAAGATAAATGTAAGCTTTATTTATCAAGTCGAAATGTAGGAAAATGTAATGTGTTGGCAAGGTTACAGCATAGTTCTAATCTATTTCAACCAAAAAAATCCTTCTGCAGGTAGGCACGTGCAGCTCAATTTACGAGTAGGTAAAGTCGAATTTTATGTATTTTTAAGGGTTTTTGATGATATTACCTACATTTTTTCTAAATAACTTTCAAGTTATAGATGTAATACTGTCTAAATTATACACTTCTTCTTCTTCCTGTCCTTATCCCACGCTAGGTGAGGTCGGCACAACATGTATTTTTCTTCCACTCTCCCCTATCAGCCGTCATTTTTATATTCGCACCTTTCTTATCCATGTCATCTTTCACACAATCCATCCGTCTTTTCTTTGGCATTCCTATCCTTTCTATCCCTCCACATTCATACCCAGCATTCTTCTCGTCACATGACATTCTTCCCTCCGCATGACATGTCCATACCACGCTAACCTATTATCTCATCTTTTCCGTCACTGGCGCCACTTTCAAACTTCCCTGTTTACTACACTTCCAAATTACTGTCTAAATTACACTAAAATTAATAATTTGTTTATTTGGAAACTTTAATGTTTTGTTAAAAATGTACATAAGAAACAGACATTCGGTTGCTCTTTGCTCGTATTTTTGGCTATGGTAAGGTTACAGACCAAACAAGGCAAGGTACTTACAATTTGCCTTGTATTATTGACTTTGATCAATACCACGGAACTTATGGTACCATGCAGTTTCCACTTCGGTAATTTAGTGGCCCAATCACGAATTAGAAAGATATAGGACCAAATCACATAAATGTCGTAATTTACGGGAATCTATTGTTATCACTTCATATGCTTAATTTGCAAATATAAAGTAACCCCGTAGCCCTGTTGATATTTAATCAGGTAGTAATAATATTCTTTCTCCTGTAAAATTAGGTCTTGTTTAGATACGTATCTTTTACCAATGCTAACACATTTTGTCGAACAACAATGATTAGATAAATTCGAGTAAATATAATATTATGCAGACGATCGATCGTAGACAAAATCGAAATGTGTATGCAACACCAGACGACGGGCGCACTTTTTGTCGATCGACATTGTGGAGTTTGAACTCGGCAAATTTGTTCTACACTCGTACATAAAGTGTCTTGGGGTCAAGGTAATTTTTTAAATATTTGATTACCCTATTTATAACTTAAATAAAAATATAAATTTAAATTTATGAAATTATTTATTTACTTATTTAAACTATGAAATTGAGCAAAACAACCATTGCTATTTTTTTAATTTATTGACGATTCACGATATTTGACCACCACGATATTCAATTATTTTTTATAATTTGTAATAAGTATTAATACAAAGATTTCTATGTGCTTATTGCAGATTTTTGTCTTTAGTTTGTCCCGTGGCTTAGTCGCGTCTGACACGGTTTGCTGGAAGGCGTTGGTTCAAATTCAGCCGGATCGAAAGATTTTTTCTAAGTGTTCGATCTTTGTAATAATAATTAAAACCATTGGTGTTAAAAAAAATAGAAAATCTGATTTTCAGTAATTGGCCAAAACGTGCTTGTCACTTGATGAGTGTATTTTAACCCGTTAAAATCACTCAAATCTATTAGATAACAGACTTATTAATCGCTAATACACAACACATTGAGCGACAATAACGATCGTAAAAAAATCGAGTAAAGCGATAGGCACATTTAGCTAGCTAAGCGAAATAAAAAACTAAAAATAACTAACATTGGATTTATTTTATAAATTCAACATGGTATCTACATAATTCCTATAATCGGAGCTGTATATCAATAAATATACTTAACGTACAAAATTACACAACAGTGACTACGTCCTTTTGTACCTTTATGTAAAAGCTATTTTACAATGATTATAAGATATTTTTACTGTAAAAAGAACTTCTTTTTCACAGTCCTTAAAAACAACTTGGTTATTTACAAATTGTCATAAAAAATCTCAAAAGCGCGAGTTAAAAATTATTGCATGGCAACATAAATACTGTAATAACCTAGATACTTTCTGGTAACAAAGTTAATTTTATAGCCCGAAAGCTTAACTAACTATACAATAAGTACTTTGGTGCTCATTACAAACTTATACATTAAAAATATTTCACATTTTACACTTATGTAATTAGAACGGGTTTATTCATACTTGAACTATGTTCTAAATCGGGCTTGTCTTTAAAACGTTCACAGACCATGACTCCACCTGAAGTCGTCACTACATACTACGTCAATGTCAAATATTTTGATTGGACTTGTAGATCTAAGTCATGATTTTTTTATACTTGGACATAGTTACGCAAACTAGAACCAACCCACAAAATGTCACTTTCGAGATAATTAGATTTTTGTAAAAACAGTGTGAAGAAATAAATAGGTAAGTTATTTGATACAAACAACGTGAGTTATGTGTAGCATTGAGAATCATATAGGGAAACTATTATATTATATAGCAATAAATAGAAAACATTATGTATCTTTTTATTTATTTAACGAGAACCATGTTCTAGTTTTCGTAATGAAAACGCTAAAGATCTACAGTACTTCAGTACATGTGACATTGATCCATTTAGGATATTTAAAAAATACATATGAAGTTAAGGAGCATGGTTCTTTTTAGCTATTAAAAAGTTACTTATTTAGGGTTGGTAGCCTGAAGGACTTTTATTTTCTCCGTTTTGGCTTGGTATATTGCCAGGATCTTTTGTGAGCGGGTAAAGGACACGTCTGGTGTTCTACCTAAATACATAACTCAATTTCACTCCAGGTGTGGCGGGTTGGTTCTTGTTTGCATAACTATGTCCAATTGTGAATTTGGTAATCTTTAAGAAATAACAAAATAAATTGGATATGAAACTATTTTTTCGGATCTAAATCGGTATTTTTTTTTCAAACAAACCAACGTTTCGGGCCCTCTGCTGTTCCGTTCCGTACTTCCATTCTCCGTTCTAAGCAGGCATTGTTTCGAACTCGACCACATTACAAGACGCATGATGCGAATGAAGCTCTATACTTGAGATTGCGTTTTAATTCGATCGAGTATTACTCATTTGACAGTAATTGTATCGGACGGATGTCATACGGAGTACCCCAGGTCCCAAGGTCACGTTTGACTCTGCTCAGCTGATTTTAAATCCGAAAAAGTAGTAGAAAACGTAGGAACTCGATAATAATGATATCGCACTGTTAATACAATAGAGTATTAACTCAAAAAGAAAACTTTCTCAGAATCGATAAGAAAAGAATTAGTGACTTCACGCAAAAAAATTATCAAAATTTATATAATATAGTTTATTATGGACACTTAAACAATTTCTCAAATATATTTAACAATAAAATGGAAAAAATAACTTCATTTTTTTGAATAAGGTGTAACATAAGGTGTGTCTTATTTTGAGTGAAGTAGATTATCTTTTGATTGTTTCTTACAATATTCTAACGACGGTTTGTGTAGACAATTAAATTTTACGTTCAGTAGTGATATAATATTAAATTTCACATATTTTGAGTTACAACACTATTGTAATAGCAGTGCGATATGTTATATTATAATATTAATATAAATTAATAATAGTAAGAGAAAAAAAAACAAAACTATTTGACACAAAATCCGGTGGACTTACAGGGTTTTTTTGAGCCTTTATATGGCTGTGAACGTGTTAATATTTATTTAATATTCGAGTTGAAACTTACATCTCGGTGCGACCTTGTTGTATTTAGTTTAAATTTGAGATTATAGCTTGGGTGTATTCGCTGCACTTGGACGTACCGCCGAGGTCACCAGTGAGAGTCTTTCCTTCACGTAGGACCTTGTAGGTCGCTTCCTGAATGCGATCCGCGTGGTCGTTCATTTGAAGGTGGCGCAACATCATGATGGATGATAAGAGCAGCGCTGTAGGGTTCGCCAGGTCTTTGCCAGCGATGTCCGGTGCCGTACCATGGACCTGCAGACAGGTATATTATTGTTTATGTCTCTAGTAGACTTTAAAAAAAAGGAAGTGTTCAATTTGACTGTAAATATATGTTACGCGATTTGTGAAAAAAGGGTATTTCATTATTGGTCCCATTTAAATTTGAAAAAAATATTTCACCTCTGAGGGTGGCAAACTAGGGGATGAATACGGTTTCGCGCATAATCCGTTAACAGATCTCTATTAGACTTGGCAAATAGATGTAATACCTACCAATAAAAAAGCTGAACAGCAAACATTTTGATGTTATTTTTTTTTAATAAAAAAAGTTATAATTATATATATGAGGTATTATGTACAGACATGTTAATAGCTAAATTCTGCCGTCCACTGTCTAAATCGCAGGTAAGTGACAAATGGTCATTCAATCCATTTTAAATAGAATAAGATAGACCAAAAAATTATCTGTACTACGAGTACTAGAGCAATGGAATTCACTTTGGGGACTTCATAAAACCAATTTAGAAACGTTCATTTCTCTAATTGGTCCTGGGAATCGAACCCGGGACCTCCTTATCCAGTGTCTATATCAATATCGTCAAAGATTCTGGGTAGGATCAATATGAGATCAATTTGAATCTTGTGTATGAGAATAAATAGATTTGCATACGCTTTGTGGAGACTATCTAAAGTTGTAGACCAAGATGCATTACTAACGGCTTACCACGGATATGTAGCCTCAATCATAAGATACGGTATTATGTTCTGGGGTAATGCCAAACGAAGTACGGACGTGTTGATTGCACAATAAAGGTGCATTCGGGCAATTTTGTGCCGTATGGACAGCTGTATACCGCAATTTCAAAAACTGAGATTATTAACAGTTCCTTCAATATACATATTTGAAACGGTTCTTTTTGTTCGGAAAAATCTCACACTCTTCAGCAAGGTGGAAAGTACACGAAGACACAATAAATTGAAACTGGTTGCCTGTAAGACTACCCTCTTTCATGATAATATTTGTGCGATGGCGCCAAAACTATACAATAAGCTGCCTAATTATATACTTGAGACTAACGACAATGCCAATTTTAAAAAGCAATTATTTAATTTATTGACTGGGAAAGCATATTATAAAGTCAGCGATTACTTAAATGACAAGAACATAGAATAATAGTTAACCACCACAAAATAATGACATAAATATAATTAAGAATTAAAATTAATATTAAGATTTGACATTTTGTAATTAAAATGTAGTAGTATACTGTTAAATCAATTTAATTATGTAAATTGTATGCCGTAAAATTGGCAATACGTACTGACACAACAATGTTAAATAAGACCTTATAGACGTGCGTACCTACACAATAAATGATTTGATTTGAGAAAATCATCTAGGTACTCGTACTAAGGGTCTAACTAGTAAGAGTTTCCTTCTTTGATAACAGTAGAGCTAGCACGCCAGTAGGGCTGGCACGACAGCGTACAACTTGCGCGAGACACTGCTACTCGATAACTCGGCATCAAACAGCGTGTGACTGTTGTGGTGCAAACTCGCATTCTGAAGTTCTTCGGACACGTTTCAAGACGCAGCTTTGACTCCATAGAGCGTCTTGTCGTGCAGGCAGAGTAGAGGGCAGACCGCGCGGACGGTCACCCATTCGATGGACAAACCAAATAAGTCTGCAGCGGTCTTTTGCTTGAATGCACGAAGGAGTCCACCAATAGAGATATATGGCGAGATATCGTGAAGCGAGCCACATTAGCTCCTAATAAACATACTCCGTGATGACCACGATCGCTCTGTCAAGAGTGCAACAGAAAAACAGGGCTGCTACTCTCGCACAGCGATCAAGGGCTAGTGCTAGCCCTACTGGTAATTAGCGAGGATGTCTAATAAATAAATAAATGGTCATATAAACATCTTGGAGCTATGAGGTGAGTTTTTGCCATTCGAATCTTTGTCAATTTTCATTGCCGCGTTACGCAAACTTAGCGATATTTTGTAACGAAATAGTACATGACAAAATGAACTGTATGTCAATTTGTGTAACGTACAACTAGATACGATACTGTAGCTGCGGGAATTCCTGAGACGCCACCTGTTTATTTGGCTCGTACAGGGCCAAGAGCACGTCAAGCTTGACACTTAAGATTTAAATCCAACTCTATGCCGCTTACGATAAGAACGGTCCAAAGTGTCAAGTTTGACGTCCTCTTGGCTGCACCTATGCTAGTGTAGGCGCATGGAAAAATCATATTCATATTTTTCAGAAAAAATCATATCCATATTTTTCAAATCTTTTTTTTTTTAAGAAAAATAAATATTTTCCCGGATATTTTTCCTTTTGAAGAATTTCGTACATTTCACGTTGACACCTGTCAAAAGTTGAAATTAGTGAAGAAACCTATGGAGCCATTAAAAAGGTATTTTTCGCTGCTGTGAAATCATTTTAAATGTCGTTTTTCTTTAAGTGGCTTTTGGCTATACAAGTTTATTTAATGATTCACGCTAAATAAAACGTCAAAAGACATTTCTAAACGTCGAACATAATATGAGCCTTCCAAATTATATTGTTCCAATTTTTCGGAAACTTTTCCGGAAAAAATCGCACTACCCATTCGATTTTTTTTCGGAAAATTATCCAATACCTCGTATCACGTTACACAATCGACAAAGTTCTTTGTGCTATGATTACAAAAACTCACTCCCATTGAGCCTTAGAATTACGCCAACTAATTTTTACAATAAAACAAAATTTATTTCATATGTATTTTATTTCTTGTCTATTTACATGTCTATGTTCAATAAAACTACAGATTGTTGCAATAAAATCACGTATTTTACTGAGAAATAAATAATCACTTACTGTACTTAATTATATATTTTTATAAATAACAAATGAATTACGGTCAGGTAGGGGTAAGAGGAACATACTTTTAGAGCTCCATGTGGAAGATTTCGTTCAGGGAAGTACTGCCACCTTACCTATTCTGCCGCCAAGCTGTAATGTGCGCATTACTGCGTTACGGTTTGGAAAGGTGCTGGTGAAATTACAAACACATGGGACTTGTCAACTTATGTCTCTGGGTGACGGGCACGGTAGCAGTGCCCCTCAGATCTTTGCGATTTAAAGCTCTGAGTGGCACTGCAACTCTTATGGAAAGGCGTGTCGCTTACCACCAGGCGTGCGACTTGTTCGTCCATTCAAGCACGACTTGAGATTCTCAAGATTTGACAACTGTCAAATTTGTTTTTTCTGCCTTGTGGTTTTGGAGCATCGTAGCGACATCTCTTTAAAATAGTTTAAACTAATTTGTTGGTCTGTTTTAACGACTGAGAGACTATAGGTTAATTTATTTATATAATGAGTTAAGCCTTCAAGTCACTCTTCCCCAGGTGTTCCTCTTACCCCACCTAACCCTACATAAATGTAATACTAGTTATTGTCAGATTTAATCTGATTTTTAATCGTTTTTACACCACATCGAGAGAAGAATTAAATTATGCACCTCATAAATAAAACTATCACATTTTTGTAAACTAAAATTAATGTACTGGTAAGAGAACATCAAACTATCCACTGGACTTTGTAATATGCAGCATATCAATGCCTTACTTTCTCAAACTCGTATCTTATAAAGAGTGGTTAGGTTAGATTAGGATATAAATATCACACAAATATCATGTACTTCTTCTTCGTTTTGCTCAATGGCGGTTCCTTCTTTTTAAGATTTCGCCAGTGTCGAGTTTTCCGCTTAGCAGAATGTAAGTTTAAATATGTTTCCGTAAATATGGCCGCCACAAAGAGGATAGGCAATTTGAGGCGGCGTGCTTGGATTGACTCGGGATTCCTTAAAACGGGCCGATACGGGTATTTTAGTCCGATATTCGTATAATTTCGCGTTTTAATCTTCGATTAAGGCACAATAGCACTATCCTATTCCACTTTAAACTAGATTTCACAAAATAATTGAAAGTCAAAATAAAAACGACACTTTTCCCTCCAAAAGGTCCAGAGCGAATCCAATATCATGTACATCAGGAGGTGGCAAAACTTTCTATTTATTTTAAATTTTATTATCAATGGTGTTAATTCGGATGCGTTACTTTAAGTATAGGCAAAAGACAATGTGTGAATATGAAGGAAATGAGATGTGAAATCATCCTGCAAAATTTGTATATACAATCCATTTTTAGCATTTCAGTAACTTGTGCTTTAAGATACGAGTTTGGGAAAGTAAGGCGACAATTGTATTTGACTTTAAATCCTAAGTGTCAAGTTTAGCGCCTCTTATGATCATGTACTATATATAACATAATAAAAAAAAATCAGGAACAATTTTTTTTTCATCACGCAACACAAACTGGACCCCAAATCGGCAAATTTTGTAAGCCCAGTGGTCCTTGTAATACCATTCAGACTTCACTGAGATAATATTGCAATTACGATAATATTTGTTATTCCGCTATAATCTAGTTGCAACGGCATTCATTCATTCATTTACTAATTATCGATGTTGCCTTCCAAACCTACAATGGAAATTACTAGAGATGCGCCGAGTACAAGTTTTACCGAGTAACTGAGTACCGAATATTACTTGGTTTTACATTTGCCGAGTCGAGTACTCGGCCGAGTTACTCGGTTCATTACAACCTAGAAATAGACCGACATGAAAATGAAAGTTTGTTGTCGCAAGAGCAGAGTCTTTTCCAATGGTGGGCAGGGCATAAAACAAGATATCCAAAACTGGCACAGTTTGCACGAGTGTTTTTATGTGCACCTGCAAGCACTATGTATAGCGAGCGGTTATTTTACCAAGCGGGTAATGTGTATGAAGAAAAAAGGAACAGATTATTACCTGAACGCGCAGAAAGCCTTGTATTCCTATATCATGACTCGCCTTTCTAAAATTTTAAATATTAATAATGTAAACTTTCTTTTTAAATGACTAAATTGCTACAAATTGTTACAATTGTCTAGAATTTCTAGTAATAAATCTCTTTTGGTTATTTTAAATATATTGTT